ACACACCTATGGTTTCCGCAATGAATGATTTTGGGATAAACTCTGATAAATGATTTACTTAACTATGATTTGGAATGTTAAGCTAAATGGTATTAATGTTTTAGCTATATTAATAATGAAATTTTTACCCATGATTTTTGGGTCGTTACATACTTGTAAGTTTTAGTGTATGCTTACTTTAGATTAAAAATGCCATGATAATTAATCTATGAAGTATATAGAAAACCTATCAGTGGTATCACAGCCTTGTTTATTAATATTTGCACTACATAAAATATTGAGTTTATATATTTTTGTAGGTTCCCTTGATCTATGACGATTAACAATAAAAGGATTGAAAGAACACAAGATGTATCACACAGATTTTTCACTAAGAAAAGGTTCTCTCAAAGAGAACAAGCACAAAGCTCCCTAGGGTTCGATAATCAACTAGTGATACGAACCCTAGTATATAAAGAAAAGTAAATACGCGTGAATCCCAACAAGCCAGTGATATCACCTAATCTATGTTAGGGCCAAGATCCTCAACCCTATTCAGGATCCTAGAGATCTTCAAGAACTTTCAGGATCCCGAACATATCTCAGGATCCTGACCATTATCATTACTATTATTTCCTAAAATTTCTAACGAATATATTTCTAGTCTTTTTCTCAAATGTGCAGAATTAGTCAACATAAGATTCGCTCTCAATGAAGAAATGTTTTTATCAGGCAAAAGACTCGGGAATACCAAGTCAAACCAACCTGTTCATTTTTATTCGAGAGGATCCTAAAAATATCGGACTTATTGTTGCTTAGACTATACTATAAATACACATGTACTTCGCACACTACATACACATAGACTCACTGCAACACTTGTACTCGTTTACTTACTTTCATCTCTGTAATTCATATTTTAATCAATACAATTAAACAAGGAAAATGATCATTATCACCTCCCAAGGTTTTGTGCCAAATATTTTAGCAAGGATCAAGGGCTTTCCTTGTAAATCACTTGTGCAATCTTGTTCTAATTTCGATAATCACTTAACCAACAACACCACTGCCTATCATTCAATTTGGTTAATATTCACTCAGTTGATTTTTGACCAAAACAATTTGGCACCCGCCGTGGGGTCGTGGTGTTTATAATCCTCAAAAATCATGTCTACACAACCATCATTTTCTTCTTCTTTGTTCCCTCTATTCCTTCGAAAAATCTTCCACCTCCTCCAAGCGGACTCCTTGGTCAGAGGAAAACTCCCGATGTACCAAAGAAGAGCACTCCTCCGGATGCTCCAGGATCCCTGGGATCCTAGGATCCTCCTCCCTCGGTCTCTAATAACGAACTATTCGCCATGATGAATACATTGACACAACGGGTGGCTCAGCAACAGGAAGACAACAGAATGATGCTTAAGGAAGTGGAATGGATAACGACAGAGATCCGCAAACCTCAGGAGGCCATACCCTCAATATTACAACCAAGGATCCTGAATTTCGACAATGCAGGATCCCTGGGAAACGTTCGGAATCTACAGCTCCAACATCCGTTGCTACCCCAACAGAGAGAATAATCTCAAACATCCAAACTCCCTTAAGATCTTGATGAGACTTTCAATACTCCTAATAACATAAATATCGGTAACTTCTATAACAATAACAATATTAATATTAACTCCATGGATCTTGATGCATAAATAAGTCCAATTATGGCCAAAGAACTCTAACAACTAAGACATATGATCTCAAGCGTACCAAGGTTGGTCCAATCTATACCGGAAGCATCCCCCACCAGTCAAAGGATCTCAAGATTTATCCCCTCAATACTTGATAATGAAGTTCCTAAGCGCTTCCGAACTCCTAGCATGAAGCCTTATGATGGAACCATGGATCCTGAAGAACATATCGTGCAATATAGGGAGAGAATGGGGATCATTCCCATTCCACCACACTTAAAAGAAGCATGTTTATGTAAAGGCTTCAGATCGACTCTAACAGGATCAAACTTAAAATGGCTTCTTAATGTCCTTCCTTATTTTATTACCTCTTTTGCCCATCTAGTTAATCTTTTCAATAATCAGTTTTCTTACATCAGAATATTTGAAAGGATCACTTGTGATCTCTACCGGGTGGTCCGGGATCCGAAGGAATCCTTAATGGAATTTATAAGCAGGTTTGGTAGGGAAGATCTAAACATACCAATCATCAACATGGCCACTGTCGTCATGGCCTTTAAGATGGTTTTGTAGAATGATTATTCATTCTCCGAAGACCTCTCAGCTGCAAACCACGACGTGGCCAAGAGGCGACAACGACGTGGCGATGAAGATAATCACGATCTATGTAGATACCACGACGTGGTGGAGACTAGCCACGTCGTAGCGAATAGGCAGAACAACTAAAACGTCGTTTTTTAAAAGCAAAATCGGATTCAATTTCAATCAAGGAAAATTTATAGGCTTTTAAAACAATTTAAAACAGAAACCTACACATACAAACCCTAATATACTCAAAAGACAAAGTCTAAGTGCAATAGACTTGAGTTGACCACGCTCTGATACCACTGATGGGTTTCGAGCCTCATCAGATCAAACATAAGGCAGGGGAAACGATCAACAAATCTGATCTAAACTTGAAATCTGAAGGATCTAAACTCATTATTAATCTATGCAACTTATTAGAACTCTATAGATAGAAAACATACATTTGATTTATTAGTTGGTTTCTTCTTTTGTCGAGCCAATAAATTGGACTAGAGAACCCACAAGAGAGTTCCTCTTCTGTGATCCCACCCAAGACGCAAACAAGAAACGTATCCAACCAATCCTCGAACTTCTAGCTCAAACATAATCGAAATCTCGATTATGTTCTTAGATCATGATGTGGGGATCAAACGGCCACGACGTGGGAACGAAGATTTGGGATTCTTTAGGGTTTTGAGGATTTCAAATTTTGGTAGCTTAGATGTATATTTCTCAAGTGTCAAAACCGGATTTGGAGTCCTCTATTTATAAGGAGGTAATTTGAAACCCTAGAGATAAATACCAAATACAATAGTAATTATCTATAGTATTCAAATCATTATGGAATATTGCATAATCCATTTATTTACTATTAATAAATTAAACTATTAATTAATTAACAAAAGAAGTCTCTCATATAAATATCTTTTCAGATCTGCTTCATTTCTGTTCGTGCGTGTAACCTAAAAAAACATTGCTATTTATAGTAATATTACTGGGCTTTGTTATGGCTATGGACACTAATCTTCATCAGCATCATTAGAAACCTTACGCATATGAGAATTGATTCAGTTGAACAAGATTATTTGCTATTGTTTACCAATTCATTGCATAGTTAAAAAAGAGTTTGTCGATTATGAAAATGGGTATCGAGTTGGTTGAATAAGATTTTGACATTGTTTGATTTATGAAGTCAATAACAACAAACAATTTGAATCGACATTGATATTACAAGAATTTTATTTTTCCTAGACTTATTTTACGTTAATATTTTGTATTAAATAATGTAGTTTTATGACATTTGTCTATTTATTAACATGTTTTTACATTTTAAATATATGTCCGTCGAAAGCTTTAAAAAATAACGTTGAAAGCTTGAAACATTTAGAGACTAATTTGGTTTTAATTATAATTAAATTGGTTTAATTCAAAATTTAATTTGATATTAGAAAGTTTAGTAAAATCAAATTGTATTTTGGATTTCGGATAAAATTTTCAATATTAAATTGGTTTAATCCTATTAAAAAATCAGTTTTGGATATATATATATATATATATATATATATATATATATATATTATATATATATATATATATGTGAGAATTTTATAGTTTTAGATGGACGTATATGCAGTTTAACACTCATAAAGACATAAAAGTTATATTTAAAGTTTTTACAAATATTAATAAAATTTTGGCGTTTTTATTTATCAGAAAGAAAGACGTCTGCAGACTTAAAAAGACGAGTCTATGTCTGCTTAAAGAAGAGGACATACAAATCTTTGTAGTTTTTCTACAAGAGAAAACGTATGTGAAATGTTATGATGCAATCAAAAAAGGTCGAAAGTTCTTGAAAATAGAAAAACCATCTAAGTTATATACGTCGGAGTTCTTTTCTCTCATAAATACTAATTCTATGAGTAAATCAATGACTACACATATAATTCACTTCTCTCATAAATACGAATTCTATGAGTAAATCATTGACTACACATATACTTCACACATAAAAATTTCAATTACTCAAATCAATCAAGTTTCTAAAAAATAGTTAGATGACACGTTAGTTCTTTTGAGTAGGAAAAAATCAAGTATCATGATCAAGTTTTAGAGAATTAATACCAAACTAATATTCCTTGATCATCGGTCAAACTCTCCACTATCACCACGTCCTATTGACAGGGCCCACAACATGTTAAATAGACAACGACTCGTGTTTGCTTTTCGACCAAGGCACTTTCAATAATACAGCCGACAGACACTTTCAGTACTCCGTTTTCATTTTCAGAATCTTGATTTAAAGCAGTTTCTGGTTCATGAAAAGTCTATTCACCATTCAAGACCCAAATCCAGACAAACCCAATTAATTGAGAGTATAAAAACAAATACTATAATTCAAATTTCATCAATGAAATGGTGTTTATGTCTTTATCATGGGCTTCAATCCCAAAATCAATGGCTAGGCCCAACTTATGGGTCCCACTAAGAACTTTCTAGAAATAATTTATTAATAAAAAAGATATATAAGAGAATACTGAATTTGTGGCAAAAAAATGAAAATATCGAATAAACGACTAAAACGGGTAAGTATTTAATACAAATCAAATCACATTAGAGCTTCAAATGTCTTATGTCCTTTTCAAATTTGATATATAAATTTTTAATATGTTAAAAAAAAAAAACTATATATCTCTTTTTAAATGACATAATTTCAACCGATTTATTTAAAAAAAAAAAAAAAAAAAAAAAAACTTCCATTTTTAAAGAAAGATATGTTCGGTATCACACGCTACACACACAACATGCATAACAACAAATACAAGTTTCATAAGCATACACATTACATATATCACATATAGTAGACCATATTTCAACTTAGAAAAAACGAAGAATCAAGAACCGATTTGTGATTCTTTCCAAAGTTACGCCCTCGAATACACTCCAAATCCAGCACTTGAGAATGATCAACAAAAAGGTTAACCTGTCTCCCATCAATCCATATGGAAAGGAATAAAAAAAAACTGGTATTTACATGACATAACATGACACGACACGACACAAATTAGGACTGATATTTACATGACATAACAGAGTCTTGTAATGGGACAAAAAAATGTAACTTTATTGGAAAAACAATGTGGGACCATGCAAAAGACTGAAAATAGCCCTAGAAAGATTGTCCGGTCAGTCAAGTCATGTACCGTGTAACAAATACAAATGCATTATGAAGGGTGGGTAAGAACGTACATTTGGGCCGTATTGCTTAATGAACCATTCGGAGGTTTTGGGATTTGATGTTTCAAACATGGCCTTTTCGAGTCCTAGACGCCCAATCACCTTTGCTATGATGTCTGCTCTAACAGAATCGGGATATCTACAGACGTCTTCTGCATCGATTGTTATCATGTCTGCTCCTGCTTCCAAGCATCTCTCGGCTCTTCTGATCAAAAAATCCACATCCTCCACACGTTCTGTATAATTCATTATACAGACAGTTGGTATCACGCTTTTGTTACACTGGACAAGACAAAACATCATGACCTTGTACTGTAATTTTTGTCCTATTGACATCAGTCTAGTCTAGTCCTAGTCTGATCTGATGCATGCCAATTGCAGTACAAGGTCGGTCATATTGTGTCTTGTCGAAGCTGCAAAAACTACTTATTTTTTTTGCTGAAATCCTAAAGTTTAAATATAAAATGACGATTTTACCCTTGTAAATTTTTTTTACTCATTTTTTGGATTTGGTACAAAAAGGAATCTTTTTCCCCTTTTGATCCATGTTTCATTGTTTCATAATGCTTTTAGTCCCCGAATCAAACACAGTTATTGGAAGGACCCAAAAAGCATAAAAATTGACAATTTTGCCCTCACAATGCTTTTAGTCCTTCAAACGCTCATGTCGAAAAGGAAAGAAAGTGGAGTCTTAATTACCAGATGTTCGAGGTGTTGGAACAACATAAGCACCATAAGCTCTTGCACGGGTTGGAGGAATGTCAGCCTTATTGAACTTAACAGCAAACTGAGGCTTAGCTTTAAGCCCCTCACTCTTAATTAACCTTATGTATCTCAACAAAGTTTCTTCAGGAAGTTCAAGTGAACCCATATTTAGCTCAACTGTATCAAATCCCAGCTGCTTACATTCCTATGATGGTCATACAATACAACTTATTAGGGTAGAACTGGAAGTCAACAAATAAGTGAAATGTGATTTGACTTTTTGTGACACTAGTCAATTACCTCTATATACTCTTTGAAAGAAGATGAACCTTTTTGAAGCAGATATTCGGCCCAATCACCTGTACTAACATATATATCATGTTCATGGGCTAATTTTGTTGCTTCTTTAATGAAGGATTTTGGCATCAAACTTTCAGAGCCTCCTGTAAACTTCAAACCATCAACAAACTGCCCCACAGACTCCAACATATCCTGGCCCAATTAGAAAATCAGTAAACCATTATTACCAAAATGTGCAATCAAGAATTGAATTTCCACATGACCTAAATTGGTTTGCAGCTATATTGAATATCCTCAAGAATTTTGATTCTTGCTATGATGCACAGAGGATCAAGTTCTCTTATGTAAAAGCTATGTTTAGTTTAAGAAATTGCTGTAATTTGTAAGGTCATACTTTCCTGTGTTACAGATTTGATAAACCTATGTTAAAGGATATACCACTTGCTTCAAGGAACTCAACCTATTGAATATCAAAAATAATTTTGCTTCACACTACAAATTGCATAATATAAGCTGATGATGCACATAGGAATGAATTCTCCTGGGACCTGGATAGAGACTATATTTAATTGAAGGAACTGCATTTTAAGATCATGTTTTCCTGTGTACAAATTTATCAAACCCTGTTATAAAGGATATATCACTTGCTTCAAGGAACTAACCACAATCATTTTCACAACCGATTACATAATACATCTGATGATGCTCAGAGGACCAAAAGTGGAAGCTATAATTAGCTGAACCAGCAACTAATCACCAAATCAGAATTGAAATGCAATTAACCGATACGAGTACAAATTGCATAACATGAGCTTATTATCCACAGATTGGGAGAAAAAAAAATCCTATGTATGAGTTATAATTAGTTTAAGTATCAATTAATCACATAATCAACGTTAAAATGCAGATAATCGATCTTACTACAAATTGCATAATGCGATCTGATTATACAGAGGGGAATTATTCTGTCTAGGAGTTGAAATAAGCTGAAGGAACAATACTTCAGCAAAACAACATTAGAACGCAGTAAATTGATGAGAGAGAGAGAGAGAGAGAGAGAGAGAGAGAGAGAGACCTGAAGCAAGTTGTGAGAGAAGAGAGAGTTGTGATTTGGGCCACGAATCTCCGTTACACCGAATCTCCGAGGTTTTTCAGGGCGGTCTTGGTCCTCGACGAAGCTCTTCCACCTGTAAGTCGCCATAGTTGATTAGTTTATCAATGGCCGAGCTTCCGGAGCTGAATTTGTGTGAATTTTCCGGTGGAAGGATGGAGGAAATGGAAAAAAATAGAAGCATGTAGATAAGCTGGGAAGCGGATTCTAGAAAGTGTCGGAAGCTATGATCATGATATTGATCTTCCTCGTGTTTCTTTACGTGTCAATTGCCACGTCAAAAATACTTTTCACCATCAACCCTACGGGGAGTGGTACGCCTACCGTAGTCTCCTCATCTTATTTTTATTTTATTTTATTTTTTTATTTTTTATTGTTATTATTAATTTTTTTTGCCATTTCATCATTTACACATTCTATATTTCTATTCTCCATAAACTCTTAACAATTAAAAATGTCATTTTTTCCATTGAATAATTATTTAATGGGTCGTTGATTTTCATATCTATTCAACTTCAAAATAACATTCCATCTAGAGTTTAATTTATTAAAGACAAAACTTCAAAAATGTCCCTGTGGTTTTCGAAAATATCAAGTTTAGTCCCTAAATTCAAAAAACCTCACACATGGTCCTATGGTTTCAAAACTTTTAACATTTAGTCCTTTTCGCTAACTCCGTTAGCTTTTGGCCGTTAAGTGAAGGGCAATTCTGTCATTTCACTTCCACAGGGACCATTTATGAAGTTTTACCTTTTTTTTTTTTTAAAAAAGAAAAAATATATAATTATTTAATATTAAAGGGTCCCACCCCCCTCTCTCTCACGATTAATCATCCCCCTCGTTCGATTACCCTACTCGAATTTCTCCTTTAGTGTTTTTTGATCGATGACATTAGCCATAGGAAGGAACAGGGGAAGATGCAGGTTACTCCTGGAAGGCCACCAACAAAATTGGCTAGTGAAGAAGATGGTGGAAATCGATAACTTCCACTACATCTCACCGTACTCTAATCCCTCTTTCTCTTCTCTATTCGAGTCAAACAAACAAGGAATTCTCAATTGGGTCAAAATCGGCAATATGAGATTCCACGAACTAGGACACGAGTATTCTCGTATTTAGGGCAAATAATCCCACCGACTTCACATGCCCAAATCGGTTGTCCCTAAAATCAGCAAGGTGAGAACCATAGCTCAGATTTAGTATATCGATTGGTCTACTGATTATTGATGGTGTATATTTGGTGTTTTGTTTTGGTTAATGGTTTACTTCTCATGAAATTCTTGAACGAAGTGGAAGACATGTGTAATTCTTCAAGTTCATCATATAAGTTGTTTTATTTCGTCTTTGTTGCTGAATAGCTCGTGAGATTAAGATAAGAGAGAGGATATTCATCAAAGTGTCAAGCGAGTTTCATCTTGTGGTTTGGATGTGTATTGTTTTCGGTTACAATTTTGATTATAAGGTTCGGTTCCAAGCTTTGATTCCATGTATTATTTTGGTATGGTTTTGAGCTTTGATTTCAGGTTTGATAGCTTGATTTCATATATGGTTTTGACCAATGATTTCAGGTACGGTTATTATTTGGTGCAAGTGGTAATCGATGGTTTCCATTGGCAGAAGAACCGGAAGCAATCTTTGAAATTTGCTCCTGTCCTGAGGGTAGCAAAGTTAAATTTGATGCCTGTACTTTTTCTGATAGGGCTCTAACGTGGTGGAATGGCCACATTAAGTCACTTACTCTAGTTGTGGCTAACTCCATCAGCTGGGAGAGCCTAAAAGCCATGTTAATGCGGGAATACTGCCCGCGAGGGGAAATACAGAAACTGGAGCAAGAACTATGGGCTCTTACAATGGTTGGTTCTGATATATCAACCTATACCAATAGGTTCTGTGATCTGGCAATTCTTTGCCCGGATATGGTTCCTATCGAGAGCAAAAAGATTGAGAGATATATTTGGGGTATGTCGCCCCAAATTCAGTCAAGTGTTTTAGCTTCAAAGCCTATTACTTTTGACAGTGCCAAAGAACTGGCACAATCTCTCATCGACCACGGAGCCCGTCAAAACTCTGTGGTCTCTGCTCCAGAACAACCCAAGGAGAACAACAACAACAACAATAAGAGGGTTTGGAACAAGGGGAAGGGCAAATCTCCTCTGGAACCAACAAAGAAGCAACAAGTAGTGGCAGTCCATGCTACTACTGTACCTGCTACCATACTCGCTACCGTACCTGCTGCTGTCTCCAATAACTTTGCACCAACAAAGCCCTATGCTGGTACCCTCCCTAAATGCAACAAGTGCAATTTTCACCACAATGGAAATTGCCGAGACCTACAGTGCCGTAACTGCAACAGGAAAGGGCATACTGTCCGATTCTATAAAATGCCACCCCAACCACTTAACCAAGCACCTGCCGCTGGAGTAGGCCGAGCATGCTACCAATGCGGTGATGTGGGGCACTTCATGAAGGATTGCCCAAAAGCTAGAAATGCCGGTGGAGTTGGGAGAATACTAGCCCAGGGTCATGAAGAAGCAGTGGCAGACCCTGCTGTGGTCACGGGTACGTTCCTTCTCAATAATACTTATGCATGCATTCTATTTGATTGTGGTGCTGAGAGGAGCTTCGTGAGCCATAATTTTAAACACCTACTAAATCAAAACTCCCAACCACTCAATGAAACATTTACAGTAGAAATGGCTAACGGGAAATCTGAATCCACCAATGATATATACATAGGATGTAGCCTTACCTTGAATGACTTATCTTTTCCAATAGACCTTATGTCGGTCTCTATCAAAAGTTTTGACATCATAATAGGTATGGATTGGTTGTGCCCCAACCATGCCGACATCCTATGTTATGAAAGAGTTGTTCGTTTGAACTTACCAACTAACGAAACTCTTATTATCTATGGCGACAAACCCGGAGCAAACCTTCAGATCATTTCTTGCATCAAAGCACATAAATATCTTCGCAAGGAATACTGTGCTTTCTTAGCTCACGTGGTAGACAAAAAGCAAGAAGTGAAAGATATCGTGAGCATTCCAGAGGTCTGCAACTTTCCCGATATTTTTCCCGATGATCTTCCAGGAGTACCTCCCGAACGACAAGTCGAATTCCGAATCGACTTAATCCCTGGAGCTACCCCCGTAGCCAAATCCCCATATCGTCTTGCACCTTCTCAAATGCAAGAATTATCCAGCCAGCTTAACGAACTTCTTAACAAAGGTTTCATAAGACCAAGCTTCTCACCTTGGGAGCACCGGTGTTGTTCGTGAAGAAGAAGGATGGATCATTCCGCATGTGCATAGACTACCGCGAGCTGAATAAACTTACCATCAAGAACCGATACCCTCTACCTCGCATTGACGATCTGTTCGACCAACTTCAAGGTGCGAGCTACTTCTCGAAGATAGACTTAAGATCCGGGTATCACCAATTACGGATTTTGGAGGAAGACGTTCCCAAGACCGCATTTAGAACTCGTTATGGTCATTACGAGTTTATTGTGATGCCATTCGGGTTGACGAATGCACCTGCTGTGTTCATGGATCTAATGAACAGAGTGTGTCGTCCATTCCTGGACAAATTCGTCATAGTCTTCATCGACGACATCCTTGTCTATTCAAGAAGCAAAGAAGAACATGGCCAACATCTTCGTCAAATATTACAAACCCTTAGGACCGAAAAACTTTATGCGAAGTTTTCAAAGTGCGAGTTTTGGATTAGGAAGGTTGAACTCCTAGGTCACGTGGTCAGTTCAGAAGGAATACACGTGGACCCTTCCAAAATCAAAGCAATTAAAAACTGGCCAGCACCCACAACTCCTACAGAAATCCGACAATTCTTAGGTCTTGCTGGCTACTATCGCAGGTTTATCCAAAATTTCTCCCGAATCGCTAAACCACTTACCACCCTAACGCAAAAATGTGTAACTTTCAGTTGGGAGGAGAAGCAAGAAGCAGCATTTCAAACGCTCAAACTAGCCTTATGCAGTGCACCGATCTTGTCCCTACCCGAAGGGACAGAAGACATTGTAGTGTACTGCGATGCTTCAAATCAAGGGCTTGGGTGTGTACTTATGCAAAGAGGAAAGGTTATTTCCTATGCCTCACGACAACTTAAGACGCATGAAGTCAACTATACAACACACGACCTTGAACTAGGAGCGGTGGTGTTTGCTCTGAAGATTTGGAGACATTACCTATATGGCACGAAATGCACAATATTCACGGACCATAAAAGTCTCCAGCATATCTTCAATCAGAAAGAGCTGAACATGAGACAACGACGATGGGTGGAGCTACTGAATGACTACGAATGTGAAATTCTTTATCACCCTGGTAAAGCAAACGTAGTAGCTGATGCCCTTAGCAGAAAAGAATATTCGGGACGCCGAGTAAAGTCGTTGACCATGACAATCCATTCACATCTGTCCACACAAATCAAAGAAGTTCAACTAGAAGCCTTGAAACCCGAAAACGTGGCAGGTGAAACCCTGAGAGGAATGGATAAAAACTTCGAAGTCAGGGATAATGGAGTTTATTATTTCATGAACCGGATCTGGACACCAAAGTTCGGTGGTTACAGAGACGTGGTTATGAATGAAGCACACAAAACCCGATACTCCATTCATCCAGGTTCAGACAAGATGTATCTGGACCTTAAGAAACTATATTGGTGGCCTAACATGAAGGCCGAAATCGCTACCTTTGTGGCCAAGTGTCTTACTTGTGCCAAAGTTAAGGTAGAATACCATAAACCTTCAGGTTTATTACAACAACCTGAAATCCCTGAATGGAAGTGGGAGCGGATTACAATGGATTTCATAACCAAAATACCCAAGACTTCGGGTGGTTATGATACTATTTGGGTAATCGTCGACAGATTAACCAAATCCGCACACTTCTTACCAATAAAAGAAACCGACAAGATGAAGAAACTAACCCGAACTTACCTCAGGGATATTGTTAGACTGCATGGTGTACCAATATCTATTATTTCGGACCGAGATAGTAGATTCACCTCTCGTTTCTGGCAGTCTTTACAAAACTCTTTGGGAACTAGGCTGGACATGAGTACAACCTACCATCCTCAAACCGACGGACAAAGTGAGAGGACGATTCAAACACTAGAAGACATGTTGCGAGCTTGCGTGATAGACTTTGGAAAAGCATGGGATATTCACTTACCCCTTGTTGAATTCTCTTATAACAATAGTTCTCACACTAGCATT